TCCAAATTACTGAATTAGACCAAAATAAACAGTGGACTCTGGCAGTTGGGATTTAAACATTAGCCTTGTTAGCAGGCATCTCTTCTAAAAAATCATTTCAAACAACAGTGAAGTGACCGCAAAAAGTTCCTTCAGAACAACTGGCAACATTTCTGGTCACATTTCCCCTCTTTTGCTTTCTGACTCTACTTATTATATTTCTGCCTGTAATGATAGTTGCATGGTGGGATGTATTCTGAACCAAGTAGAGTGGTTGGCAAACAGGACTTCTGGAGTCCAAAGCCTGCATTCAAATCCCAATTTTATACTCTTAGGCAAACTGTTTCACCTCCTATGCCTCTGTTTCTTCATCTGTAAAAGGAGGACAATAATAGAACTAAGGTTATTATGGATTAAATTATCTGAAATAAATAAAGCAGTTAGATTAGTGCTGGGCATATAAGAAGCAATCAATGGACATTAGCTAAGTGTGTGCATGTTCTCTTCCTGAGACTGACTCTAGACAGCTCCCTCCCTCCCTGGAACAGCATCTCCTGTATTTGTAAGTAGTTTATTTCCAGCCCGCCACTTCCTCATAGAGAACAACATTAATCAGAGTCCACAAGTTTGTATTCCTTCTGTGCTGGTCATCTCCAGCTTTTCCCCACTTTGGTTCCCCTGGAACACCCACACTGACCTTCACAACATACCACCCAACCTGTGTTTTCCTACTGGGAGAATCTCCACTATACGTGTGCCAGGATGTCTATTCACAACCCATGAAGCAGTGGGCACCCCTGGTCCATATACAAACCCTCTGAGTGTTCACTAATTCTTCAGCATGCCCCTTTTCATCACCTAAAGCTTGGGTTATACAATTCCAACCAGCCTGAAGAGGCTTGTCTTTACTCAGATGATATTGTGTTGAGATATGGCATGGCCTCCATGGGGAAAATGTTTCTACCTGTTTCTGTAGCAATAGGACTTAACATTCACCTTCCCATGTAAACATGGAAGATAGAAGATCACTGTTAGGTGACTCAATTATAATTTCTGTGGTTGCAGAATTGTTTCTTGTAGTCAGTTTTCTGTGTCCCATCAGATGATCACTAGCTACATATTTTATGAGATGGAAGTCCAGAACTATATGGACTTCTATCATGATGGTCGACTGATGCTACTTTCCTTTGTCAGCCTGATCCCAGGGGGATGGGGGTGGTGCACGGACTCCCAGTGTCATATGGCAAGCTGAAGTATAAACCAGGGGGCAAGGAATATACCATCAAATAAGCATAGCTCATTGTAAGTCCATCTCCACATTTGGACTAACACTCAAATATGTGTGATTTTCACACAGTTGGGTGACATTATACTTCTTCAGGAACCTGAGACTGTGAAAGTTTTCAGAATTTGCAACAGATCATTTGAAATAGCATTGTTGTTAGTCACTAATTGGTGTCCACCTCTTTGCAACCCAATGGACTGCCAGTCTCCTCTGTCCATCGGATTTCCCAAGCAAGAATACTGAAGTGGGTTGCCATTTCCTTCTCCAGGAATCAAACTCATATCTCCTGCATGGACAGGCAGATTCTTTACCACTGAGCCAACAGGTAAACCCTTGAAATAGCATGACAACAAAACTATCCATTGGCTAAAAAACTTTAGTCTGAACTCCCAGAAACATTTTACCTATATAAGTCTCCAGTCAAGCCAGTAAACAGACATTCTAAGTACCCTTGATTGTACAGGGTGAGTCTGATGGCAGTGTGCTTTAGGATCTGGTGGCCAGGGGATTTGGCTTGTTTAACATGCCCAGGTCCTGGCTCAGTCAGCAGGCACACAGAGCTATGTGGCACTGACAGAGCCATTTCAAACATTCGAGGAAGATCTCTGGGATTCAGAAAAGCTGATTCAGTATGTACTTGCTAAAGGCCCCCTGAAACTTTTAAAGGGAATTTTCCAGTTGTCACCTTTCTGCAGAAACCACACTTTATTACTCTAAATTATTGGAAGAGATTTCTCATTTCAAAAACTGGAAAACAACAGTGAGAAAATTCAGCCTAGATAATTGGCTGCAAGCACTGGAAATAATGCCTATCGGAATGACTGGATAGTTAAGCTTTTTAATGAGAAAAGTCCATTTCTTAAACTAAGAAAACTTTATACAAATTTATTTATTCATAATAAACACATTCAACCAGCTTTGGATCACAATGCCATTCATTGAGCAAAATAAATTTTTTTTGGGTGTGATTTCATATTGGGGAGGAGAGGATGGGGCACGGGGAAGAAAGAGGAAAAATAGACATATTGAGTATAACCTACTACTGGATTCCTATATCTTTTGCCAGTATGGTCAGCATCTTGTTCTGATTTGGGATATATTTTAGTTGAACTATTCACTGTATGAATAAAAGATCAAATATCAAGTCATTTGATGCAAACCAGTAAATCACTGACCTGACTCCATGTTTTATGTACCTCATAAAAGTACCACAGTTAATATACCCTTTTCTAATTCCTGGACTTGAAGCATGGGTTAGAATTTAGAGGTTACCACATCCAAATCAGGACTTGGATTTAAATGCTAAGCGTCTGAAATAGGCTAAGCCATCAACTTGATAATGTAATCATAACTTGTCCTCACTTGGTTATATTAATTTTTATCTTCTTGTCACCTCAAATTCTGTTGATACGGGCAATCAAATGGAAAAAGGAAACAGGGTGGGCTAGGGTAGAAGAGAAGTCTCTAGTCTGAGTCCCTGATTAAGGAGAGAGCTTTGTCTCTATTTTAGCTTTGTTTAGTATGAAAAGGTAGATTGCAGACCCTACCCAGGTGCTATTCCATCTGGAGAGGAGAAAAATCAAATAGCAGGTGACTGGATTCTTTCAATAAAACGGGCACAGAGCTGAAAAATCCTGTTAGATAGCTCTCATGTGGATTATATATTTTGAGTTACCCTCTTGTAAAACCTTCCTGCTCAAACTACTTCCCATGCCATCACATACTTTTCTGTTTATTCCTGACCGCAAATTGTAAGTCATAAATGAAATAAAGTTCTTTTTCCATTGTTGAATTCTGCAATGAGCCAATTCTAGACAGCCTATTCCTTCTCCCTTATTTTTCTTGTAAATATTTTAAATATATTTAATTTGCCTGGTAATATTTAGATATGATGGCTCAGACAGTAAAGGATCTGCCTGCAATGCAGGATACCTGGGTTTGATCCCTAGGTCAGGAAGATTCCCCGAAGGAGGGCATGGCACCCCACTCCAGTATTCTTGCCTGAAAAATCCCATGGACAGAGGGGCCTGGCGGGCTAAAGTCCATAGGGTCGCAAAGAGTGGGACACGACTGAGCGACTAACACTTTCACTTTCCTGGACAGATGTATGCATTTTTTTCATTCTAAGAAATTCTTACGGCAACTTGACAAACGCTAGACAACACAGACTAGGGGCATAAATGGGATAAAATTTCAGATATTTAACTTTAACCATTTTAAGAAAACCTCATGGACCAATGGCTTTCCCTATCGCTTTCAGCAGCATCCCTTCGGACACAGCTTGGAAGACCGCACGGACCTGCCCGTGTCTGCAGGAGTCGTGAGCTCATGAAAACAATGTCAGGATTGCCTGGGTGTAGTTGGGACAGAAGAGTCACCACTGCCAGCTGTATTTATTGTTTTCTTTTTTCTCTTAATTCTGAAGTTTTCAAGGTACTTATCTGTGTGTGAAAAATAAACTTCAAGAATTAATACATTTGAAATGTTTGCTATGAAGTTTTTCACCCTAAACTTGTTGGAATGGCATAAGAAACACACATCCCAGTTTTCCTAAGATGATCCAGCTTATTCGTATTATAACAACATTGTTACCAATAACACACATTGTAGTCTCCAAATGTCATGATTTTACAAAAAATTATATGACCACCTTAGTTCTGGGTCTAATCCAACACCCTAGGGCTAGTAGGCTAACCTCATTTTTTTACTAGCTATGTGACCTTGGAAAAGTTCTTTAATTTCTCTGTATTCCTTCTTACCTTTCACTAATCTAGACCCACAGAAGAACTTTTAAAGAAGCAACTGTATAACCAAATACAATGTTTAAGTGACTTGGCAACAAAGGGTTCATTGCCTCTACAAACTATAGTTATATGAAAAAATGACATTTCTATAATGGTTTTACCTTCACACACACTTCCCTACATATTAACACAATTGCTTTTCAGATCATTCTCATGAGGTAGAGAATTAACTTATTATTAACTTATTATTAATATCCTTATTTCTCAGTTGAAGACAGTCAGGGAAGTTGTCTTTCTTAACGCCACAAAAAATGAATGCTAAAACTGGAACTTAAACCAAATTCTTCGAATCCTACCTGCCCTATTTGGGGCATTAGTAAAGGATAAACACTAAATTCTTAATCATCTTTATATTTATTTTCAACTCACATTGACTATCAACTTAAATAGCTAACACATTCTGAATTATGTATATCTAGATTTCATTTAGGAATTGCCACACTGAATTATAACAGCATATTTAATTGTCCCCTTCAACATAAATTTTTAAATATTGTGAGGGAAAAGATTATGGACTTTTTCTGTATCTTTGGGTTTGCAGCACCTTCCTTAATTCCTGACACACAAGCAGGCACTGAATAAACATTTATTAAATTGAATAAAAGCTGTTTCTTGAGGAGTGTCCTGGAAAATATCAGGAAAAAAGAAAATGTTTTGTTTGCCCAGGGCCTGTATTCACACTCCCTGCTAAGTGATATTTTGAAAAGAGGAGGCAAGCCCTTCACCTAAACAGGCCTACAGCAATCAAAGGCATTCGTGGAGAACTGAATTCATTTCCCTGCTCTTTCCTGACATTTCTTCTTGGACATTTTACTGAGAAATAATGGGGAGAGGTTTGTCTTCCCCCAAGGAAACCACCCTACCTGAAACTCCATGTCAAAATATTATGACTTTTTAAAATGAGAACATATTTCTCCATGTCAAGTACTTACTTTCCAGATCCATAAAGATTTCCACAGGCATTAAAATCATTACAAGTATGCTCCTGATTATCAATGGTGTAATTAGATTGGTAAAAGTCAGAGTCAAATTGTCCCAAGTTTGACATCCTGAAAAATAGGAGTGAGAAATGGAGAAGATTAGGAATCAATAAAATTTCTTTTGAGGTATTTATAGGATCAATAGACAATATGATTATGGCTGGATTCCTATCAGAGAACAAGGTATTCTCTGAATGGGGGAAGGGTATGGAAATGTATGCCAAAAAGCCATTTACAAAACCTATATACCTTTCAATTAACTTTTCTGAAGTTTTCACTAAGCAGGACTGTGACTAAATTGACTTTGCCTGTGTGTGTGCAAAGTCACTTCAGTTGTGCTTGACTCTTTGTGATTCTATGGACCATAGCCCATCAGTCATCTCTGTCCATGGGATGCTGCAGGCAAGAATACTGGAGAGGGTTGCCATTTCCTTCTCCAAAATTGGTTTTAATTATCTGGAAAAAAAAATTCTTCACCTAATACCTTGTTCTCAGCAGTTGAAGAGAAAAAGTTTAAAAGTTGGTATACGTCTTGAAGATTTTCCCTTAAATAATGTTATTTCCTCACTTTAAAAACACATATATAGATAAATATACACATACATATCCATATATCCATATATATATATATATTTTTGCTGTTGTTCAGTCCCTCAGCTATGTCCGACTCCGCGACCTCATGGACTGCAGCACTCCAGGTTTCCCTGTCCTTCTTCATCTCCCAGAGCTGGCTCAAACCCATGTCCACTGGTTCAGTGATGCCATCCAACTATATCGTCCTCTGTCGTCTCCTTCTCCTGCCTTCAGTATTTCCCAGCATTAGGGTCTTTCCTAACGAATAGGCTTTTCACATCAGGTGGCCAAAATATTGGAGCTTCGGCATCAGCTCTTCCAATGAATATCCAGCCTTGATTTACTTTAGGATTGACTGGTTTGATTCTCTTGTAGTCCAAGGGACTCTCAAGAGTCTCCTCCAACAAGCATCAGTTCTTTGGCGCTCAGCCTTCTTTATGGTCCAACTCTCACATCCATACATGACTATGAGAAAAGCCACAGCTTTGACTATACGGACCTTTATCGGCAAAGTCATGTCTCTGCTTTTTCATATGCTATCTAGGCTTGTCATAACTTTTTTTCCAAGTAGCAAGAACCTTTTAATTTCATGGCAGCAGCCACCATCTGCAGTGATTTTTGAGCACAAGAAAATATATATCACATATATATATACGTGCATATGTGTGTATATATATACACATATGTATATGTATAGAGAGAGAGACACACACACACATTATACATATTTAGGTTGGGGCAAGGGCTTCCCTGGTGGCTCAGCTGGTAAAGAATCCGCCTGCAATGCAGGAGACCTCGGTTCAGTCCCTGGGTTGGGAAGATCCCCTGGAGAAGGGAACGGCTATCCACTCCAGTATTCTGGCCTAGAGAATTCCATGGACTATCCACGGGGTAGCAGAGTGGGACACGACTGAGCTACTTTCACTTCACTTCTCTTCAGGTTTGGAGAAACGTAATTGCAGTTTCAGACTTTGAATTTTAAATCACTATAACTAGGCTCAAGCACATCTTTATTCATTGAAATAGGAACCATTATAATCAACACATTTTTGCCAACAAGAAATAAGTTGGTTTATTCTTGTAGCATAGAAATCTGTGCTTCTGGATCAGTGAATTCTTGGAAAGAATTTCTGCCCCTTGCTGGTTGTGGAAGTGTTTTCCATGCTGCTGCTGCCAAGTCACTTCAGTCGTGTCCGACTCTGTGCGGCCCCCCAGACGGCAGCCCACCAGGCTCCTCTGTCCCTGGGATTCTCCAGGCAAGAACACTGGAGTGGGGTGCCATTTCCTTCTCCAGTTTTCCATGCAAAGTTGCTGAAATACTTGAAGAAGTGGTAGTCGGTTGGCAAGAGGTCAGGTGAATATAGCAGATGAGGCAAAACTTGGTAGCCCAATTTGTATATATATAAAACATACAGAAAGTAAGTTCATTAGCAAAAAAAAATAAAGCAATAAATGCACATTAAAATAATGTATAACATAATCACATTTAAGAATGTATTCCAATATCAAACAGCAAATTTCAGCAATGCAAAACTGCAATCACTTTTGCACTAACCTGATAGCATATGTGTGTGTGTGTGTGTGTGTGTGTGTGTGTGTACGTGCGTCATCTATCTGTACTCTTTGCAAAGCCAGGAAGTAAATGGCTGATAACAATATTTAAGTTTGATTTATTCACAGAGCTTTAAAGGGTGCTAACAGCCTCTCCACTCCCCAAAACAAAGATAAAACCCTCAGAACTCATCTCCCACTTCCTCTCGCTACTTCTTGAGTGGTGTTTGGAATATTTTCCTTTTCGCTTGCCCCGTCTGCTGCTCCAGGGCTTCTGCTGAGTCAGAGGAAGCAAGGTTTGATTTGGCTACAGGAGAAGAGCTTGTCTTTCCACACGCTCTCCACATAGTTTCTACTCACTACTGGGAGTGAAGAGCAGGGCATATAGTCTTGATTGAGACCTAAGGGCTAGAATACAAGAGGGAAAAGGAGGACTTGACAGGAGAAAAAGGTGGGGGAAGAAAGTAATAGCAAAGTGGGTAATAGTGTCTCTTTGGTTGAAAATTAGAGAAATGGAATAAAAAAATCTTTTCAACTCAACATGTTAACCGTTATTTTCCCTTGAAAAGCTTTCTATTTCAAAAGAAGAATTTGAAAATCACTAGGAGTAGTTCATATAATAATCTATGGTATACTACTTATAATATATTTCAAATGAAATTGCATAAACAGCTTGAGCTCTAAGGGCCTCATTAATCAGAAATATTCAAGTAACAATTGTCAAATATATCAATCTTCAGCTCAGTAAAAAGGCAAAAATCTACTCTAAAATTAGACCCATACATTTGATATAATAAATCAAGATTTTTTCATTAGTAATATGTATAAAAGTAGCTATAAATTATGTAAACCAAAATCAGGACTAGGAGAGTGTAAAATCTTTTAATAACTTGTAATTTTAAAAATTTAGAATTTAAGACCACAACTTTTTCAGTCAATGAAAATATGTTATTATAAAGCATAGGCAATTATTTAACTGAAAGTTCACTAAGTTTTCAGAACATGCAAAGCTTTATGTTAATATGATTATTGGTTTTGCAGTCTTAATAAAACCTAGATTTGTACTTTGTTTAAACGCCAAATTCTTTAGAAGGATCAGACACATACCTTTATATTATTTTATGTTGAAAGATTCTCCAACAAATGTAGCTTTACTTGGGAAATTTTTAACAAATCAGCTCATGAAAAGATGACCTGCTGAGTCTATATATAAGCTTCTAAATTTGTACTGTGACACTCTGAACAGATGCTACAGCCAAAAAAAAAAAAAAGCCTGCCAAAAGCCAAACACAGTATTTTATAACACTTGTTACAGTGTACAAACACAGTGAATGGTGTAGAGACAATTTGATAACGTAAATGTTAGATTCAGCTTCCTTGTGTGACTAATGTACCATTGAACTCTGATTTAAAATCATTTATTTGAGGCTAACAATAAAGCAGCCTAACACTCCCTCTGCTTCTTAGCCTAGAAGAATATATGCAGCCTTCACAAGATTTTCTAATAACATGTGGTAAAAAATCAACATATGGTACATGAAGTTAACATAACAATCTTAGCAACAATTTGAAAACATGTGATCAATTTTATCCAAATCTGAACCATTCAATTTATATAAACAACACTGAGAAAGACTCCCCATGGTCTACATCTGATTTTTTCCCTGCTTCTTACTTCTCCATCACAGCCCAAGATGGATATACTAATATGATTTAGAGCACTCCTCATTCATAGTGCTTATTCTGCCCCATTTTTGAGCCCATCTCGATCACTGAAAGACATCTATGATATTGTGTTTTCTAAGGAAAATATATATCTGGTAATTTAGTTGACCAAAATATGTTTCTCATTATATTTGGTCTTTGTCCATGGTTCCTGACTCATGGCTCCTAAAACCCTTGGAATCTCCTAAGTGTTGAGAGTGACAAAGGTGTCTCTTGGTCTGTCAATCAGGTGATCTGGGGACCTCATCTAATGATGGGGGCTGGTTGCCAATGGAGCCAATAACGTGAATAGAGGGTTGGAACATTCAACCCCACTCTCAATCTCTGAGGAGGGAAGAGGGCTGGGATGTTGAATTAATTGCCTATGGTCAATGACAGGAGAAGGCAACAGCAACCCACTCCAGTGTTCTTGCCTGGAGCATCCCAGGGACAGGGGAGCCTGGTTGGCTGCCGTCTATGGGGTCGCACAGAGTCGGACACGACTGAAGCGACTTAGCAGCAGTAGCAGCAGCAGCAGGTCAATGACAACCAATTATGCCGATTTTTATGACACCTTCATAAAGCCTCAAAAGGATGGGGTTTGGAGAGTTTATGGGTTGGCAAACCCAGAAGGTGGAGGTGCTGGGAGAACGGTGCCCTCATAGAGAGGGCATGGAGGCTTCTCTCCCTTCCCCACTCTTTTGCCCTATGCATTTCTTCCATCTGACTGTTCCTGAGTTATATCCTTCTATAATAAACCAGTGGTCCAGTAAGTATATTGCTTCTCTGCGAACCTCGCTAGCAAATAAACCAAATCTAAGGAGGTGATCCTGGGAACCACCAATTTATAGACAATTTGTTGGTCAGAAGTACCAGTTTAAAGGTCATAAGTACAGGTAACAACCTGGACTTGATACTGGTATCTGATGGGAGGAGAGAGGGAAGCTAATAGTCTATTAAGATTCTTAAGAATTGAGTTGAGTTGTAGGACACCCAGATGATGTTCCAAGAGTTACTTGGTGCTGTGTAGAAACCTACCCCCTTAACTTGTCGGAATTGGGGCCACAAATAATTCAGCACCAGATCCATTTCTTCCAGGAAACTGCCCGAGTTGTTTCCGTTTACATTCAAGGATTACTTCAAGGAGGTTTCTTCCTAGTTCTGACTCAGGTTACCTGGCTAATACTCCCGGTTCCTATCTGGATCTGGTGGTTTCGTCACTAATATCAGCATCAAGGCTGGAGGTCAAGTTCCCCTGCGATCTGCTTCTTACTGATTCTCCTTTACAGTACTTGAGATTTCTCCTGTATCTAGATCTCAGTAAATGAAATCTTCTGTTCAAGCTTACATTGCACTTTGGAAATTTCTGCTATAGCCAATGGCAGATAGTAAAGTAAATTTCTCCACACTGTTTAAAAATATTTGGAATTTGAAAATCTTTAATCAGAGCTGTCTTTTGCTGGGTCACTAGTCGGGTAACAATAAATCGTGCATTTTTTTTTTTTTGAGGATCTATTGACTACCAGACTGTGTTCTAGATTTGGAGTTATAGAAGTACACAATCTAAGAAGAAGGAGTAGACTTGTGCTTCAAGAGACATATTTTAATATCAATCCTACTCTATCTGCAACAGAAAACAATGACTAGCCTGGCTCAGTTCTATGACTTTAAGGTTTAAGTCATTGAACTTTGGTATCAACCTCATAAAGCATTATTATTCCATTTTGCAGAAAAAGAAGAGATTAAATAACTTGCCCAGATGGAAGCTAGTAGGTCAAAAAAAGCCACTATTTGCAACGTAGTAGACCAAGTCCAGAACTCACAATTTATCCAAAACAATTTCAGGAATAAGCCAAAATCTATCAAGAAGTGAGCATAAACTATTAAGGTGGAAAACTCAAAGGGGAGAAAATTAGGGTATTCAGTGAAGTCCTCTTAAGACAGTCATTTGAACTGAGACCTGGTTGATGAGAAGAAGCCATTTGAAAGACCATGTGAAGAGGATATAAAGCAGACAGTCTGCGGTGGCAAGGAATTGGCAGTTTATAGCTTAGAAAAAAAAAACAACACATGGTCATGGTTTTGAATCAAAGGAAAGTTGACGAAGATGAGGTTAAAGGGAGAGGCAGAGGGCAGATCGTAAAAGCCTTGGCAAGGAGCATAGATTTTATAATAATTGAGATAAGACGCCACTGCAGGGTTTTAAGCATGGGGTATGATCAATCTTATGCAGAAATTGAAAAGGGAAGCTCATTAGGAAGATGTTGTGCCAGTAATAAATGCATGATATACAGGTAGCTTGGACTAGGGTAGCAGTGGAAGTTGGGGAACTGGGAGAAAAGTCTTGGCAGCTGAGGGAAGAATGAATTGAAGGGATCAGGACCAGACCAGTGCTGAAGAAGACAGTTCATTCCAGGGAAATGATGTGAAGTTGTCTGAACTGGGAAAGGTCCAGTGCAGGTGAAGAGGACCAACCAGGTACAAAAGATATACGGGAAGAAGATTTTTATAGGTTTCGTTTCTATTCGCTAAGAGGCTTCCCTGGTAGCTCAGCCAGTAAAGAATCTGCCTACAATTCAGGAGACCTGGGTTTGATTCCTGGGTGGGGAAGATCCCCTGGAGAAGGGAATGGCAACCCACTCCAGTATTCTTGCCTGGGAAATCCATGGAGAGGGGAACCTGGCGAGCTACAGTCCTCGGGGTCACAGAGTCAGGCATGACTGATTGACTCAGTTCAGTTCAGTCGCTCAGTCGTGTCCGACTCTTTGCGACCCATGGACTGCAGCACGCCAGGCTTCCCCGTCCATCACCAACTCCTGGAGCTTACTCAAACTCATGTCCACTGAGTTGGTAATGCCATCCAATCATCTCATTCTCTGTTTTCCCCTTCTCATCCCGCCTTCAATCTTTCCCAGCATCAGGGTCCTTTCCAATGAGTCTGTTCTTTGCATCAGGTGGCCAAACTACTGGAGTTTCAGCTTCAACATCAGTCCTTCCAATGAATATTCAGGACTGATTTCCTTTAGGATGGACTAGTTTGATCTCCTTGCAGCCCAAGGGACTCTCAAGAGTCTTCTCTAACATCACAGTTCAAAAGCATCAATTCTTTGGCACTCAGCTTTCTTCACAGTCCAACTCTCACATCCATACATGACCACTGGAAAAATGGACCTTTAAAAAAATAAGACAAGCTGCCCCCTTTTCCATCTTAGGTTTCCCTGGTAGCTCAGTTGGTAAAGAATCCGCCTGCAATGCAGGAGATTCCGGGTCAATTCCTGGGTCAGGAAGATCCTCTGGAGAAGGGATAGGCTCCCGACTCCAGTATTCTTGGGCTTCCCTTGTGGCTCAGCTGGTAAAGAATCCACCTGCAATACGGGAGACCTGGGTTCAATCCCTGGGTTCGGAAGATCCCCTGGAGAAGGGAAAGGCTACCCACTCCAGTGTTCTGGCCTGAAGAATCCATGGACTGTATAGTCCATGGAGTTGCAAAGAGTCTGGCGTGACTGAAAAGGGAAACTCATTAGGAGGATGTTCTGCCAGTAACAAATGCATGATATAACGGTAGCTTGGACTAGGGCAGCAGTGGAAGTGGGGGAACTGGGAGAAAAGTCTTGGCAGCTGAGGGAGGAATGAAAGTCAGCTGACTCTAACTTTCACTTTCAAGGGGGAGAAGAGAGGGATAATTATGGAAGATAATTTATAGAATCCTAATGACTTCTCCATCCTAAGGCATCAAATTTATGGAAAAAAGCCAGATCATTACATGGTAGCCAAATTTAGACCATCATACTTTCTATTTCTTCTTTCAAAGGCCTTGATGTGAGGAGCTAGGTCCCTTCCTGTTAACAGCGAGGACTCAGAGTACACTCTTTCTTTTGACATATAAAGTCACTGAAAAGTTTGCCCAAGATAATAATATTGTCAATCTTAGTTCACTTGGTTGGATTTTAAACTTACTTTGTGGTTTTGTATTTTTCAACTTAGTTTTCTAATTTATGGAAACCAGCTTGATTAGATGAATTGCAGAAAAAAATGTGAACTGAAATGGCATATAAAAATGAAATTAATCTAAACCTCAAGGGAGCTATGAGGTATGAAACATTGAAGACCAAATGACTTCACTCTCCTGACAAATGACTTTTGTTGTCGTTCATTTGCTCGGTCACTTTTGACTCTGTGACCCTATGGACTGCAGCACACCAGGCTTCCTGTCCTTCACTATCTCCTGGGCATCAGAGTGATGCCCTTTGAGTTGGTGATGCCATCCAACCAACTCATCCTCTGTCACCCCCTTTAATACATGTATCAGGATACTTTGAAACTACTCTTATACATGTTATACATGTAACTCCATATGTATGAAAAACATGCATTTAAATCTTTCCCCATTAATGAATTATCCAATTGATATAATGTATGTTTAAGGACAGAGTTGAAATTGATATTATAAATGATCAATGGATTACTTTAGTTCATTTACTTAATTATTTCTGGGTTTTGAATGATCAAAAAAGCTGGATAATGTGAATAAGAATTCTCACCTGATTTAAAGAGCACCACGTTCTATTCACAGCCAGTTTCTCCTTCCCTTTATCATTCCTCCCCTTTCTCTGTCCTCTCTCTAAACTCTCTCCTAAGGTGATCTCATCCACTCCCCTGGCTTGATAGACAATCTATATAGAGAGAGTTCCTCACGTCACATATGCACCCTCACTTATCTTCTCAGCTTCAAACTATTTCATATCATATAGACAGTTCAAAACTTAACATAATCCTAACTTTTCTTTTACCTTCTACCTTCTCCAACCCAACACTGTTTTCTCCATTTCAGGAGATGGTATCACAAGCCACTCATTCAAATCAGCCATTATCTAATCCTTTGGTGAATTGTATAGATTCTATCTCTAAAACATATCTCCCACTAATTCTCTCCATCTCAGCTGCCATCACCCTGATGTATAATCCTTAGACTTCTATTCAATAAAGTGAAATACTCCTTTTAAAGTAGCAGATCCAGTAGGCGGTCATACAAGTTTACATAATCAAGAATGTAAAAATCATACTATTAATGGCATAGTAACTTGCCAAATAGGGACAAAATTTATTCTGTGTTTGCTGACTGCAACTTGCAGTGGGAATAAGGAGAAGAATTTCCATCCGTAATTTCTTAATCTCTCTGGTGATCTGTCAAGTCTCAAAAGACTGAGTTGGTCAACAGATATATCTGAAACAAATTGCCCTCTATCTGACAATCATGCATACATATTTATGTTAAACTAAAGGATGAAAGTTTACATAGATGGATGAATGATCACTACTATTAATTTAGCTTACTCAGAAACCAGTTCAATTCTGTAAATCTAAGCATAACATATGATTATGACATTCATTACTGCAATTTTTCAATATAAAAATAGAGGCTCCAGGAGGTTAAGTGACTTCTGCACAGTCACACATTTAATATGTAACAGGTCAAATGTGGAAAATCAGTTCTCTCAGCCCCATTTCCTTTCATTACTTTTCATTTCTTAAAAGACTACTTATGGTTATCTAAAGTGCTGATGTCAGGTGTATCTGTTTGGAAATATTAAACAATATTTACTCACAACCTCCAGAAAATATTTTTCAGCTAAACGGAGCTGCTAATGAGCCAAGAGATACGCCATCATTTTCCACCTCTGCTGACAGAGAAATGGGTTGTTTTTATCGGTTTGAAAGTGAAGTCGCTCAGTTGCTCAGTCATGTCCAACTCTTTGCAACCCCGTGGGCTGTAGCCCACCAGGCTCCTCTGTCCATGGGATTCTCCAGGCAAGAATACTGGAATGGTTGCCAGATCCTTCGCCAGGCGAGCTTACCGACCCAGGGATCGAACCAAGGTCTCCCGCATTGCAGGCAGACGCTTTAACCTCTAAGCTACCAGGGAAGCCCTTTGATCAGTTTATCAAGTAATTATTTTGGCAGTCTATACTGCAGTTTAACATCATTATACTATAAATTACCCCTCTTATTAAGGCAGAAAAAGTACACGCTGCTTTCCGTTAATTTTTTAAAGATACATCTTGCCCAGTGTTCCCTACACGCCCCTTCTGCTAAGACCACACAAGATTCGTTCTGGACCATCTGCCCTTTAAAGCCCATGCTGCTCCGATTTTACAAGCCACAGTCACGTGAAAGTGGGCATGAAATTCTGCTTCACTGAAGGAATTTTAAAGAGTTCAATATGTCCTATGACACGAAAAGAAAATTACAGGGTTTTCCTTCATTAATATGAACATAATTATCCTTGACTTTTAATTTGGCTATTTCTTATTAGCTTCTACTTTTGTCTTAGAAGAAAAATCAGAATCTAGCAGAATGATTACTGAACACTTACAAGTTTTCAGTTTGATAGCAAGTAAATGTTAGCAAAAACATAATGTATACTTGAAATTATGAAAATTGATATGAGTGGTAGTTAATTAGTACATTATTATAATAATTTCAAATGTAATAAATTTTATACAATATAAATTTATCCTACTGATATAATTAATTTTATAGAAAAATTTCCTAGGCATTACATATATTCTGCCACAAGTTATCTAACCAGAAGGATCCTCAGCTCCCTCATGCATAAAACAAAAAGAAAATTTTTACCTGTCTCTTAGGCAGTATGTATTTTATATTGAGCTCATCAGCTTAATTCTATTTTTCTCTGTGTTTCATAATATACCTAAACTTCATAATATACTTAAATCAAAATAAATATAACATATATGTACATGTATATATGAATGTGTATAAAATGTGAGGATTAAGCAGAATTTTGAACAGGGACAGTTAACACAGGCAGGGGCAAGTTGCAAACACTCAATAAATATTACTAGTTATGATTATTATGATTACGCTTAACAACAACAATAATTTCTGCTCACACATTTGATTGCAAGTTTAAATCTACTGTAATCTACAGAGATTCTTTTCAGTAAAGTGCTTAAATTTTTTGAACAGTTGTATACTTTTTCATCTTCCTAGTATAACTTTAAAAGAGTTTATTCCTCTTCTTCTCTTTAATGTGACAATTTTTTCCTTGGGAGCAAGAAGGAAAATGTTCCACAACTGCCAAAGAGAAAAAAAATCACAGAATTTTGGAAAAGATATTGTTCCAAACATAACTAACTCCCTTTCAAATAAATGAATATTTATTTGAAGTGTTTAATAAATCTAAAACTAATATTAAGAGTCAAAGCAATTAGAAGGGGAAAAATTAATAAGCAAGTAATGATTCACAAAGAAAGAATAGAGGTGTCAGAGAAGCAAAAAATTAAGATGATAGCTAGATGTTAATGTGATTTTCTAAGACAAATGTAGTCACAGAAAAGTTAATTCCCTTCAGGAATAAAGATCTATTTTTCTTGGCATTTGGGCACTTAGGAATGCACTTTCTTGGGTTGTTTCCTTTATTGCTTTATTCTTGTAATGGCATTTATTGCTCCCCAGTATCCAGGTTCATTTTTCTTTCCTGTCAGCACCTAGATTTTCCTTTGGAGAGCACCCTGCTGACGTGATTCTGACTGGAAGGACAGCACAGTTGGTAGAAACATTGTAATACCTAATGTGGCTTTAAGTGTGGCCCACTTACTTTGCTTCCCTGATTGGTCTGCTGGTAAAGAATCCACCTGCAATGCGGGAGACCTGGGTTCAATCCCTGGGTTGGGGAGATTCTCCCAGAGAGGGGAAAGGCTACCCACTCCAGTATTCTGGCCTGGTTGCAAAGAGCTGGACATGACTGAGTGATTTTCACTTCACTTGGGGGCTTCCCTGATAGCTCAGGTGGTAAAGAATACACCTGCAATGCAGGAGACCCCAGTTAAATTCCTGGGTTGGGAAGATCCTCTGGAGAAGGGATAGGCTACCCACTCCAGTATTCTTGGGCTTTCCTTGTGACTCAGCTGGTTAAGAATCTGCCTGCAATGTGGGAGACCCAGGTTCGATCTCTGGGTTGGGAAGATCCCCTGGAGAAGGGAAAGGTTACCCACTCCAGTATTCTGGCCTGGAGAATTCCATGGACTGTATTGTCCATGGGGTTGCAAAGAGTCGGACATGACTGAGTGACGTTCACTTTCACTTTTCACTTTCTTAGTTTGCTACTGTTGTACATGTTGGATTAGAATCCTTTTTCAGCTTAAATACTTCTAATTTTATGACTAACCATATTTTATGAAGGTAAAAATTATACATTAACATCCACATTATACTACTCAGAAGTAATTTGATTTTTGTAACAAAATCCATCGAAACTCTTAATGAAGTCCATCTTAAATGAAATACAGTTGCTCACTGATATAGTTTTGGAAGAAGACATAGCTCTCACCTTCTTCCCAGTGAAGAAGTGTGCTCCCAAACAAATGACAGTCCAAAGAGCACTGGGCATTCCCCGGGGGTTATGAAAGTTACTTGACTGAGGACCAAAGCCCTGAACCATTCAAGTGTGACCTAATTTGATGCAGGAGCTCTGTATCATTTCAGCAGGTCAAAGACTTTAATCTGGAACATCAAATAGGTTTCTATACACCCCAAAAAGTAAAAGTAAGATTGCCAAAGACGAGTCATTTTAGTTACTTCTAAATCCCTGAATCAATGTTTCCTTGAGAAAATTGTGAACAATAAGCTTTGCTTTTAAAGACTTTTTTAAATCACAAAGACCAATATCCCATGAAGTTAGAAAACAATTGAGTTGATTTTCATCTGACAAGACTACCACAAGATTTTCAACAGTGCAAAACAGAACAAAATGCTGCTTCTTCTCCTGTGGGCCTAGTTATGTTTCAAACCAATAGATGATAACTGTGATGAGTGGAAATCAGAGACTAGTGTACACACTTCAGGGGTGAAATAGGGACAATAATATGAATCATAGGATTGTTTTGAGGATTAATTGAGTAGTATTTGTAAAGTATTAGAAGAGTATGTGACAGTAAGCTTTTTATAAATTATATAAATAAATCATATTTATTTCACTTCTGTATCCTTGTGGCTTTAATATTGTATTCTTGAATATTGAAAAGCAGAGACATTACTTTGCCAACAAAGGTCCATCTAGTCAAGGCTATGGTTTTTCCAGTGGTCATGTATGGATGTGAGAGTTGGACTATAAAGAAAGCTGAGTGCCGAAGAATTGATGCTTTTGAACTGCTGTGTTGGAGAAGACTCTTGAGAGTCCCCTGGACTGCAAGGAGATCCAACCAGTTCATCCTCAAGGAAATCAGTCCTGAATATTCATTGGAAGGACTGATGCTGAAGCTGAAACTCCAATACTTTGGCCACCTGATATGAAGAACTGACTCATTGGAAAAGACCCTGATGCTGGGATGGATTGGGGGCAGGCGGAGAAGGGGACGACAGAGGATGAGATGGTTGGATGGCATCACCAACTCGATCGGCATGAGTCTGAGTAAACTCTGGGAGTTGGTGATAGACAGGGAGGCCTGTTGTGCTGCGATTCATGGGGTCGCAGAGTCAGACACAACTGAGCGACTGAAATGAACTGAACTGAAGTGAGTGTTAAGGTCCATATGTTGAAGTCTTAATCCTTAGTACACCTAAGAATTTGACCACATTTAAAGACAAATTATTGGGGCTTCCAGTTCACAATGGTGGGGAAGAAGGACATGAGCTCATCTCCTCCTGCCAGAGGACCAAAATCACAACTAGCTGTTGAACAACCATCTGCAGGAGGATGCTGAAACCCAGCAGAAAAAGATACCCCACATCCAAAAACAAAGAAAAAGCCACAAAGAGATGGTAGGAGGGGCACAAGGATGATAAAATCAAATGTCATACCTGCCACATGGGCAACTCACAAACAGGAGAACAGTCAGACCAAAGAAGTTCTCCCACTGTTGTAAAGGTTCTAGCCCCCAGGTCAGGCTTCCCAGCGTGGGGATCTGGCAAAGGGACTGGGAATCCTCAGGAAATGTGATCTTGAAGGCCAGTGGGATTTCATTACAGGACTTCCGCAAGCCTGGGGGGACCAGAGCGCCCACTCTTGGAGGGCATAAACAAAATCTAGCATGTCCAGGACCCCGGGGCAAGGAGCAGTGACCCCATAGGAAGCTGAACCAGAGCTGCCTGCTAGTGTTAGAGGGTCTCCTGTGGAGGTGCGGGTCAGCAGGGGCTCACCACGGGGGCGGGGGCACTGGCAG